TTCACCACTTCTAAGAGATCTGCTTCTAAACAGTTAAACACAATTTTGAAAAAAGATGTGGCAAGCATGCCAAGACAGCAGGTTGACGATTTAAGGTGCTGTACTATTTCTTCCAAAATTTTGCTATTGTTGTTTGTATGCGAGTGTTGTTTAAGTTATAAGGTTTGAGAAGAAGATCTGTCTAGCTGTGGCTAGTTTCACATTGAAAGCATGATGGCTGTCTTTATAGATGCTATAGGGAATTTCAAGTTTCGTCTTCCGCCTCATCGGCTCAGATTTTCTGCATTGCCTTTTCATACTCTGAACTGCTGTTGATTTTATCCAAGGTGATTGCTAGCTTATGCCTATATTTTTTTCAGTTTCATCATAAACTAGGTAAGCAGGGACTTGTAATAATATGTTGAACATCTGATAAGTTGGTCAATCACACATCCAGAGTTATATCTTACTATGTGCTATAATACAACATTTTCTGCAATGGTTGTACTTGTTGTTAGAATGCTTCAATTTGGGTCCAGGCTTGTTTTATGAGCTATCATGGTTAATAATAAAATTTTTAAATTGAGAAAGAACGTTTTATCTGTTGTAAAAATTCTGTGAGATATTCGTAGCGCCTTGTTTAAAAAGTACTTTTGTTGCGAACAACCTTATGACAACTGATTTTCAGTCCAATTTAAGTCTAATTCATAAAGAAAACTCTCTGTAAGCACCTTGCATTCATCAGAGGCTCATTTGACTACTTCTAACCCCATGCATTGGAGCATCATGGTTTTAGGCTTGAAAAATCTACAAAATGTTACTAATTTGTTAAAACAAAAGTTACATCATTGTTTAATCATACTGCTTTTCATCATCTTGTAGAGATACACAGTGTGATGGTAACATTTTTTATTTGTAAAAGGTTTGTATGAGACATCGTAAAAGTTTCAATGTTTAACTGCTGTGTGTGTGTGTGTGTGTGTGTGGGTGGGTGTTTGCATTCGCGTGTTTGCTTGGGTTTGCATTTTGCATGTATGTTTGTGTTTTGCTGCATATTTGTGTTTGTTTGAGTGTTTGTGTGTGATTGAGTGTTTGTGTTTGCGTGTATGTTTGTGTTTTGCTGTTGTGTTGTGTTGTGTGTGTATGAGAGAGAGAGAGAGAGAGAGAGAAGGCGAGGGTGAGGGTTAGAACAAGAGACGGAGGAGCTTTTCCTACTTAAACTTCTGGTTAGTCATCATCGCTACCAGAATAATGTAAAGCATTTTTATAGTCAACTGAAACTATAGTAAATGCGTATTTTTATAAAGTATGTTATATATAATCACATTTTATTTATTTAAATTAAGAGAATGATGTGTTTTATAGCTTAAATAAATGTTGGATACTTTTTTAAATTGCATGATGAATGCAAAAAAATTACTGACTGAAATAATCAAAGGCCTCCACAATTGTATTGTGGAACTTATTAATTGTATTGAAACTTTTAGTTCTTCGTTTCTCACTGTTCACTGTCTGCTTCTCTTGTCTTTGAACCAAAAATGGCTACAGCAGCACCAAGAACTCCCAACGCCAACCGCTATAGTAAGACCAACTTCTGTTTCCACATTTCGCACCCATGAAAATAAACAAAGTATCTACTGACTGTGTAAAGGTGTTGATTTTGTGACCTTAATAATAAATTAATGTAAAATATTTTACCATAATACAGCCCTGTAATGCTGTGATTTTAAAATTGAAGACATTTATGAGTACAGTATAATTAATTAACATTCAGTTACAATACTTGTGTGAATTGTCTCAATATGCCAGGTCATGCCAAACAGCTGTAGCTGGTGGGACTGTGGCTTTCTGTATCTCAGCTATATACCAAAGTGCTCACAGTTCCTTGTAAGCTTATATTTTTCATCCATAAGGTGGATGACATGGTAATCAATCATTATTGCCAGCTACTTCATAAAGTTCTTCTTTCTTCATTGTGGCTTTTTTGTGCATTACTGACATCATACTGCTGGCCCCAGCTTGAGCATGTTCAGCTATCTGAAAGAAATGGAAACGTAATAACATTCATGAGACTTAAAAACCACATCCAGTGTATTCAATATAATGGATGTGGTCTAAAAAAAGAAAGAAGAGCATATGTGACCCTGGACCACAAAACCAGTCATAAAGGTCAAGTTCTTGAAATTGAGATTTATAAATAATCTGAAAGCTGAATAAATAAGCTTTCCATTGATGTATGGTTTGTTAGGATAGGACAATATTTGGCCGAGATACAACTATTTGAAAATCTGGAATCTGAGCATGCAAAAAAATCAAAATATTGAGAAAATCGCATTTAAAGTTGTCCAAATGAAGTTCTTAGCAATGCATATTACTAATCAAAAATTAAGTTAATATATTTACGGTAGAAAATTTACAAAATATCTTCATGGAACCTGATCTTTACATAATATCCTAATGATTTTTGGCATAAAAGAAAAATCAATAATTGTGACCCATACAATGTTTTTTTGGCTATTGCTACAAATATACCCAGCGACTTAAGACTGGTTTTGTGGTCCAGGGTCACAAATGACATTTGAACAACACCAGGGTGAGTAAATGATGACTGTAATTGTCATTATCAGTAGACATCATTTGAGGCATGTAAATGACTCACAGGGAGGTGCCAGGTGTATCACATAACCTTCACCAACATAAATAGCCCAGTGCTGATATGAGCCTCGGAAGATTTCATTGAGGTCTTCTCCTACATGCTACATAATATCAGGCCTCATATTTTGTAACATTTTTAAAGAGCCATATAGGCTAGCTTGTCAATAATAATCATGTAATCAAGAAAAATTAACTGTGGTCTGATTACAAGTATTTTAAAATGTAATATATCCTAATTACAAGTACTTCATTTTTGCCCCATTATGTAATTCGTAATGCTAGCCTGTGTGGATACTTATAAACCACGTGTTTTATAGCTAGTCCCGTGTTAGGTTGTGCCTCACTCTGGGTAGATAGATTACTTAGATGAATTGTAGTTTTTTACTGATTCCAAATTACATGACAAAAAAATGTAATTAATTTAAGTCCATGTTTGATAATATGTGTAGACCTTGGGTTAAAGTATCACCCTATGTTAAGCGTGAACAGTCAACATGGGCCTGGTCAATATGGGGGCCAGTGGGGTGGGCAGAGATATTTTTTCAAGTCCACTATAATGGACACCTGGACTGAAGCAACATAAAATTCTTTATATATTAACTAGTTATCTTTAACTATATGCCCTGTCCAAAATACCCACACTTGTGGTCTTTGAACTTGTATGGAGCATATAATATGACAATGCTATTTGAATTGTGTAAATTTGAATTATTGACAAGTGTCATTTAACAAAACTGAATTTTATGTGGCTTTTAACATCGTTCTGAATTAGATTTTTTTTTTTTTACTTGAATATTGAACACTTTCCAGAGATCATCTACTCTTCCCTGTGGATAACCTCTGACCTACTTTCTCTACGATCTGAATTTCGTATTGAATTTTGAATATTGAATCTGATGTTCTGAATTTCTTCTTCATCTTGAAAACTTGTATTTTTAAAAACTGGATATTTGCAGTCTAGCAATTCAGAACAAAACATCCGCTGTCTATTAAAAAAACTGCCATGAAAAATCAATTGTGTTCAATTTCAAATGTTCAATATTCAAGTAAAATAAAATCTAATTCAGAACGATGTTAAAAGCCACATAAAATTCTGTTTAGTTAAATGACACTTGTCAATAATTTAAATTTACACAATTCAAATTCAAATAGTATTGTCATATTATACGCTCCATACACTTGACCACTTATATGACATATTTCTTGTATTTTGCCCAAGTGTTCAAGTGAGCATGAATACCACAAATGTGTGTAGAACTTTTTATTACCTGATGGGACACACTTATAGTGTTGTAAAAATGCAAGTGTTTACAGAGCTTTATTTTACTTTCAATACTTTCCATTGTAAAATAAACTTCTAAATGTCTGTTCAGTAGTCCAACAGATGACACAATTTAATTTGTGGTGCTGCTAATTGAGTGATAAAAAGCAATTGCAAATGTTGTACAAATAAATATACTCATCTTTGCACCAATAAAATGTGCAATACTTTGTTTTACTACCAAATTATATATCTAATTATTATTAATATTTAACTTAGATTGGAAAGGTTTCTGTGACCTCTTGCGAGATCTTGGCAAAACGTCTCCCGATTTATTTCCAGAACATGATGCGATGGGATACACTAAGCCTGGAATACCCCTCTGGATTTAGTGTGTGTTAAGGGCACTGCACTTTGGTGTTTTAAGTCCTGGGACAGTCTTGCACACTAACTTCGTGCCACATGCACGTGCTCCCAAGTGTGGGTAATTGGACAGGGCAATAGTCATTTTCAGCTTTTTTTTTTTTTTTTTTGTGAGGGATACATGAATGATACACCTGATGCAAAACAGACTACTATAGATCCTTCAAATTAAGATGTCCTTCGAAGGAGCTTGATGACATGCAGCCTTACTAGGATGTGTCCTACCTGTGGTGGTTCATGATGCCAGTGACATCATGCCACTATATTCAGCTTTCTATATTTTGCTTTGTAATACACGGTTATAAAAGTGTTTGAAAGGTCATTCGAAATCTAGTAGAAAAATAAATGTGATATAAAAAAAAATGATAAAAAGATTTATCAGTGGACTATGGACTCATTGCTTTATTGTGGAGTTACCTTGCACCATAAAAGATAATACACCATAAAAGATTTTACAGTCTATAATCTCTCCATTTGTACTCCTAAAACCAAGGCTGCCAATTTTTACATTTAAATGTAATGGTTTGTTTTAATGATTTAAATGTTAATAAAAAGCACCAAACAATTTACTGGCTTTAAATAATCCATTACCTGTAGTTCTTTATTTCTCACTGTTCATTGGGTCTGCTTCTCTTTGTCTTTTGAACCAGACATTTTTTTTAAAATAGCATAAACAATGGCTCCAATGCCAATCCCTACAGTAGCAACTGCAGCAACGGTCTCCACTGCGTCTCGTACCTATTAGAATAAACAGAAATTATCTATATTAATTCACTGTGAAAAGTTGTTTCTTTTGTGACATTAGCCTATAATAAATCAATTTAAAATATTTTACCATAAAACAAACCAATCCAGTGATTTGCAAATTTGAGACATTTAGGAGTCTCAATTCATTTACAGTACTTGGGTGAATAATCTCAATATGCCAGGTCATGCCAAACAGCTGTACCTGTAGGGACTGTGGTTTTCCGTATCTCAGCCATGTAACAAAGTGCTCACAGTTCCATCTAAAGACACTATATGAAAGTTCTTGTCCCAAAAATCTATGTGCATCCCGTAGAATCTCGCGAACAGGACGTGTCTCATATTTCTCATCTAGAAGGTTGTTGATACAGTATTCATCATTGCCAGCTACTTCATAAAGTTTTTCTTTCTTCACTGTGGCTTTATCATATAATACTGACATCACACTGTAGGCTCCAGCTTGAGCATGTTCAGCTGAAGAGAAAGAAAACGAAAAAGTAAAAGCAATCATGAGACTTAAATGGAATGTTTCCGACTGAATGCAAGTTAAGCTCAATAAACATAATTTGAGGCATGTAAAATACTCACAGGGAGGTGCCAGGTGAATCACATAACCTTCTCCAACATAAATAGCCCAGTGCTGATATGAGCCTCGGAAGATTTCAATAAGGTCTCCGCGCTTTGGCTTTTTCTCGTACTATGAGACAATATCAGAAGAAAGAAAGAAAGTCATCTGTCAGAAACGTAGGCTAATATTGTTTAACTGATATAACGCAATACCATTGCACTTGTGAATAGGCTAGATAAAATCCCAAAAGTGAAACTGTACACAAAGATCTCGGTTACCGTAATAAAACTGCTTTGCGACAGACCTCGAGCAGTAAGTTTAGTAACAGCACAAAAATATCTATTTGCAACGTGAGCTTTCCCTTACGAAAATTAACCATGGTTTTATTGTAGTAAAAATGAAGTAATCATGTTTTTTGGTTCATGTTTTTGTAGTAAAACCATGGTTAATTTTCGTAAGGAATTAATTTCCACTAATTCAAATATTTACCGTAGCCATGGCGACCTCAAACTTTCACTTTCCTGTTAGAGACACATAACAAAGCATTTTTATGGGACAATTTAAATCTCTACGTCAGGGAACACATTATCTAAATTACACAAATCCCTTTTTATGTACATTAATGTAAAGGCTATCGTAATTAAATGAATTTGAATCATCGGAAATAAACATCAGCTGGTAGGAGCAACTCGACACTTCGGTCTTCCTAAAAAACAAACGAACAAAGTCTGCGCTCTACGATCCATGCTTTGAACAAAATATTCATAATCGAGTACGAAAGTTACACTGTGGTTTTAACTAATTAGGGTATTCTACTTACAAGTACGCCGCAGCCTTTGTCGCAGTGATGCTACGCTCCAAAATCAGAGAATATATCGCGCTACTCGACCAATCAGATACATTCAGTGCGGATAGCGACGCCCTTAAAATTTTTTATGTACATTAATGTAAAGGCTATCGTAATTAAATGAATTTGAATCATCGGAAATAAACATCAGCTGGTAGGAGCAACTCGACACTTCGGTCTTCCTAAAAAACAAAAACTAACAAAGTCTGCGCTCTACGATCCATGCTTTGAACAAAATATTCATAATCGAGTACGAAAGTTACACTGTGGTTTTAACTAATTAGGGTATTCTACTTACAAGTACGCCGCAGCCTTTGTCGCAGTGATGCTACGCTCCAAAATCAGAGAATATATCGCGCTACTCGACCAATCAGATACATTCAGTGCGGATAGCGACGCCCTTAAAAGGTGTTGGTGTTCTTCTGAAACAATTAAAAAATATATGTACACTTTTATTGACGTTTTATTTCAATTATTTTCATCCAGAAGACTGCTTTTAGTACGTTTAAGACAACCAGAGTGGCAACTTTTCCAGTGTTGGGCCAGCAGTTCTTATAAAAGGTTCACGCACCTGCTGGGAACTGTATCAGTGGGCGCTCAATGTTATTGGCCTCATAAATAATGAAATAGGAACTGTAACTTTTGACTTTAGAAATATACAGTGTGTGATCTAAAATGAACCAAGCATAAAATATGAACCGTGTGGAACGTGGAATAAAATAACCCGAGATTACATTTCCCAGGGTTTATTCCTGAGGTAAGCATTTCAACTGTGAAAAGCACAACGGGAGAAAGTGTTTTCTGTCATCGTAACATCATCAAACAGTCGGCCCATTTTGCACGCTTTTCTCCAAGGAAGGTGTTGAGAGTGCTTTGACAATAATAACTCCTAAACTACAGAGGGCGATAAGTGTAGCAAACTCGTAATTTTCCCTCTGACGAAAGAATACACGAGCGCTTCCGCTGCTTAGTGTAGCGTTCGTTGAAACGGTGTTGAAAAATTGGCGAAAGTTGCAAATACTGCCCCTTTCCCCCTCACATTTCGCCATTGTAGTAGTTGTTTTCTATGTAGATAAAATATTGCGCATGGAGTATTTGGCATAAGCACATAAACGATGTCTGCGATGTTCGAGGGGAATGCCTTGTCAGCCATGCAGACGTCTCACTGCCACACTCCTCTAAACAATTACAGGTGAGCAGTAATAGAATAATCATATATGTTACCAATAACTTATAAAACATTGTATCAGTTTATGGAAGGAATTCCAATTTGCATTAAACTGCGTTATCGGTATGAATGAACAAAATGGTGTTCTCTTTTTAATGGCATGAACGAAGGTGGTTTATTTAGTCTGAATTATATGAATGATACAGAGCGCAGGTGTTCGCCAAGTTCAGTCCAGTATGTTAGTAAAGAATAAAAAACAAAACTACTGGGAGCATAAATCCCCATTGTAACTGTATGTCCATTTTGCATATGATACAATATCATGTGTTGCCTTCTCTGTCAATGCATTTCTGTTATTTCAGGTTCAGTAAAATTTCCTGGCATAGTAAACGGCTTTACATTGCTGTTTTTTGAAAACCAACGTCACTGCACCCATTTATCAAGAAATTTTGGAGCACTTCATGCTTCCTTCTGCTGACCAGCTTTTTGAAGATGCTGATTTCATTTTCCAGCAGGATTTGCACCTGCCCACACTGCCAAAAGCACCAAAACTTGGTTAAATGACCATGGTGTTGGTATGCTTGACTGGCCAGCAAATTTGCCTGACCTGAACCCCATAGAAAATATATGGGGTATTGTCAAGAGGAAGATGAGACACCAGACCCAACAATAGTCTATGAGCACGAAGCGCTTACAATTTGCGCATCCAGTGTGCAGAATGATGCGCTTGAAGCAACATGGCGTCACAGCCTGACGCCGTGTTGCTTCAAGCGCATCGTTCTGCACACCGGATGCGCACATTGTAAGCGCTTTGTGTTAAAAACTGCAAAGCACAAAGGGAAGAGAAATTGATGCGTAGAGTATTATATCTGTGCAACAGTTATTGAGCCTTTCTTTTAACAGTTTTAAATTTCAGTTACTGTGCACGTTAAAAACTATTTATAGTCTTTTCTACGCCCGTGTTTTGTTCTCACAGATACCCGGTAGCAATTAACAAAACAGCATTAAACTCCGGCAAGAAGATAAAGTCCTTTTTGCAAAATCATAGACATGTATTTACAAATCAAGTATAATGGGAACACAGAATGATCTTGGAGAGAGCTTTACCGAACTGACTGTCGTAACCGAATGCGACCAGGGTTTAAAGGCTGAACGAATGACTGACAGCCACAGCGGAGAAAAGAGTTTGTGTGAACTTTAATGTAAGGACTTAAATATTCATATGTAGCTCACATTAAGCTATCGTATGGCTTCAGAAGTAACACAGAATAATTCGCACAATCGGGGAAGAAAAAATAAAAATCTCGGCTTTGGATCGGCCCTCTCAGACCGATAGCCGATCCGAGAAAAATGGCACTATCGGAGCCGATATCGGATTGGCGCATCCCTAATATCAAGCCATTGTTTTGGCTACAATATATTAAAATATTTCCTTCATAAATTATATGCACTTATATCTTATAAAATATGTGACAGCTTATTTTGAAATTATAAATATTCCATGTTGTTTCTCAATTAATACACAGTCAAAAAACTGCATGCTTTTAAAATAGTATTAGATGAAGGATAGCATGTTATACTGCTGTGACTGCTAGACATGTTATTTCTGAATATACTCAATATAGAAAAATCTTATTTTATTGCTAAATGTATGCTACATTTCATTTCTATGTATTCCAACTGTCCTTTTTCTTTTTCATCAGTCCTCAAGAGCTGGCTTTAGAAATCAAGGCTTTCATCAGTGGCGTTGACCAGACGCAGGGACGTAAACTCAGTGTTCGGGATCATGCCCGCTGCGCAGTGCGCCTCCTTCGAACTGTCCCAGCCTGCCGTGGAGCCGTCTTGGAGCACTTAAGGGGAGTGTATGATGAATATGTTGCCGCCTTTCTGCAAGACCTGGAGGCAGAGGGTGAAAATGGTGGTAACAGTACAAGTGGAGGAGCCAGCACCAGTATATCTAATTTGGAGGATGTTATTAAAGAAGTCCATGCAGTCCTCTCTGAATTTATCAAGCTTAGTCCTAAAGCTTGGGCTCCTCTTGTGTCCACATGGGCCGTTGACCTTCTTGGTCAGCTTAGCAGCAAGCATGCAGGACGAAGGGCGGCTCCTCACTCGTCCAGCCTAAATGAGCTGCTGCAGCTTTGGATGTCGTGTGCAGCCACTCGCTCACTTATGGAGTGCTACTCCCAGTGTCTAGCGGCCATGTTGGCCTGGTGCCCTGATGCTTGTGTGGATGCCTTGTTGGACACCTCTGTCCAGCACTCCCCTCATTTTGACTGGGTCGTCGCCCACATTGGTTCAGCTTTTCCTGGCACCATCATCAGCAGGGTGCTGGCTTGTGGCCTCAAAGACTTTTATGCGCACGGATATTCCTCTGCTGAGAAGATTAACCAACAGCAGCCAATAGACAAGAGCAGCAGAGTCCCCAAAATAGGCTCAGTAGTTGGTATCCTTGGGCACTTGGCCTCCAGACATTCTGATAGCATCAAGAAAGAGCTTCTCAGGATGTTTCAGGATAGTCTGTCTCCGCCCCCTCAAAATGTACCTCCGCATTCATCCGGGGCAGGCGGGTGGGAGAACTCCCCTCACCTCCGTAGGGCCACTGTACCTTTTTTGCTTCAACTGGCTGCTCTTTCCCCCACTCTCCTGGGTGCCGTTTCTGCAGAACTGGTGGAGTTCCTCAGACCGCCCGTGCTAATTCAACTCCAGGCTCAGTTCCAGGCCTTGCCCCGGGAGGAGCTCGATAATATGTTGGGTCTAGCGGTGCATCTCATAAGCCAAAGCCCTTCAGGTGGAGCAAGGGTACTGAAGTTCCTTGCGGACACTGCTACACCATCTTCAGTGATCATATCAGGCCCTACACCCTCTCCCCATGATAGTATTCGAGAAGCCTGTGACCACTTACTGCAAATGCTTCTGCTGCATCTTCACAAGCTGGTGCACAACAGACCAGAGGGTAATGAACCCTTCCCACAGTCCTCTGCTGCCCCAGCAATGCCGCAAGTGATCCCATTTCTAGAGGAACTCCAGGGACACATAGGTGATCTGTGCGCTGAAACCCTCCGGCTTGAGCGGAAGAGGCACCTCTGGTTGCATCAGCTCCTCTGTCTGATATCCGTGTATGGTGGCCCAAGCGTGGCCACTGAAGCTTTGTGTCAGCTCTTCACCCAAGCACGAAACCCAGAGGAGCTTGCTCTGGCCTCACAATTGTACACCCCACTTTCCACTTCACTTTCCGGGTTGCTTCCGTCAACAATAGCCCGCTGTGTTGCCCAGATCCACACTCAAACCCTTGACAACAAACAGTTGGCTCAGCTCCTGAACAACCTGGCTACTGCGGTACAGAGTCAAGAGGAGGATCGGAAAAATGGAGGGGCTGCAACAGGTAGTTCAGCTCAGTCATCAATGGCCGTGCAAGTTGGAGTTGCCATCTCCAACCACCTTCAGGATTTCTGCCCATTGCTTCTTCATGGCGACACTATGGTATCCAAGGCAACTGTCCGTCTGCTTTCGTGTAGCCAGCTTCCCAGAGCTTGCTCTCCAGCTCATCTGTTGCTGATATGTAGAGCGGCAGTGTCACACTTCTTTGTGTGTTTACGACAGCAAGGGGAGAGTCTTAGGGTAGGGGAAGAGGAAGTGGGATACTCCATGCGACTGTTGTCACGTCTTGCAGCCTACTCTCCCTTGACACTTAAAGCTGTGCTGCAACAACTAGTGGAGGGAGCCCTGCACAGAGGCAACCAAGATTTATTTGGAGGCCTGCAGGAGAACCCAGGTGATGACACCACACAGTCATCCAACCTTATTCCAGACTTGGGCGTCTCCCTCTTAGACATCAACTGCAAATTTGGCACCTCTGTTAACTTCTCGGGTAACGTGTGGTCCGTGTTTCATGCTGGAGTAATTGGAAAGGGTTTGAAACCTCCGTACACCCCTTCACAACCTGACCCAGATAGAATCAATCAGAATATGCAGACCTTGTTTGCTGTCATGGTTCAGTGTTGTAGTTCAGGTGGAGGAAACCCTACTGGCAATGCTAGAAATGGTTCTGCTGGAGGTACCACTAATGGCCGCTTCCCTGCCAGTGAACCTCTTATTTCTGATGAACTTCCCCCAATTAATGCTGAGGCTGCAAAGGTAATTGCTGTAACTCTGGTGGAGAACA